TATACTTTAGACATATGCCTAGGGGCAGAGTTAAATCGGATGTTCCTGGAGTAGGACCTAGCGGCTCCTACTCCAATCTTTATCAACTTTTAATAAATAAACTAAACTAAACTAATATAACTGCAGTGCGTTTGATTTAAAGATATAATCAATACAGTATAGAGCTGGGAGAAAAAAATTTTAAAGCATTCTTATAAAAGCCTAACGGTATATTTGCTTAATACATTTTAATTAATAGATATTGAACTTGCATGAACGCTTATAACGTTGAAAAAATATTTTCCCAATATGTGATTATAAGGCTGTGAAATATGCAAGACCGCGCGTTTTTTGGGACATTTGAGTGTGCGTAAAAGCTGATTGGCTATTGATATTAACAAATCCACAAACTTATATTCTTATTTTGATTAGTAGAAGTGAAAAATAAGAAAAAATCAACTTAAACATTTTTTTGTCGCACAGTGTTATGTACGCAGGTAGAGACGTGCATAGAAAAGGCTGTGCGGACGACTTCTGTCTTCCGTAAGCTATATAATAAATCGACTGCGTATAAATACAAGTCGAAAGAGGCTGCGTGCGGCTGTGCGGAAGAGTTTGGTCTTGCGTAAGCTAGATACGAAATCGACGTTGTAATTATATAAAAAAGAGAGGCTGCGTAAAAACTAGCCCAAAATTTTAAGTCTTAAATAACATTTTGTTTCGTGTTCTAAAAAAAAATTAGCAAACGCACGACCTCAGGAAATCCTTTTATATGTGAGGCCATTGAGAAGACGGTTCTCCGAAATGAATGGGAGAAATGGTTTAGAGCGTTCACCATCTCGATGGAGGCTGAACAGATCGAGTCACCCAAAATGAAGAGAACCAAACTAGTACACATAGGTGGGGTACAATTGCAAGCTGTCACGTTCTTGTTACCGGGTGCACTGGTAGAGGATGACAAGGACCGGGAGATTGACGTCTTCACTGTTTTGGTCAAGAAACTAAATGCCTATTTTTCGCCGAAACAAAATTCAACGTTTGAAAGGCATCTACTTTGAAGTATATCACCACTTGAGTCAGAGAATTTCTCAAAGTTTATTCTCCGACTAGACAACACATGTATAAATGTTCTTTCGGCCAATCTAATGCGGACATCGAAGAAATCTGCCTAAAAGACAAAATAATTGATTCATGGCCGCCGCTAGAGGTAAAGAAGAAACTTTTGAGTAAGGAGTAATCCTTGGAAGAAGTTATTGAAGCTTGCCAGGTCGAGAAACAAATAAATAAACAATCTGAAGCCATGCTGGCGAAACCTACCACTAGCGATTTAATCAATAAAATTATTGCTCGGAAAACAAAGCCGAATCTGGAGTGTTCGAGATGTGATCGAATGGGTCATGCAAATAGCGATTTTTCTTATTCGGCCCGAGCAGCTAAATGTAACAAATGTTTCAAGATAGGTCATTTTGCACGACAATGCAAAACAACACAATGTGCTCAGCCGAAACACGAAAATAAGAAGCGACGCCGAAATGATATTCGATGTGTGGAAGGTGAAAGTGCTGATCTCAAACGGAGGAAGGAATGTGCGAATTGTTTTAAGATCTGCAGCGACGAAGAGTTCCAGGTTAGCAGCCAGTTCGAAGAATCCCTGTGGCACTCGCGGAAAAAGTTGCCGCTATGCTGGAAGAAAGTTTGAGTCGGGACATCATCGAATCAGTTACAGGTCCGAACTCGTGGATCTCCCCCATTGTCCTGGCCTTCGGCTGTGCATTGATATGCGGCGTGCAAATAAGGCCATTCGTCGAGAAAATTATCCACTACCGACCTTTGAGTCTTTTATGCCCAAACTAAAGGACGCAATATACTTTTTACGCTTAGACTTATCATCAGATAGAAATTAACGAAGCCAGCAGAGAAATTACGACAGTCATAACACCAAAAGGACTCTTTCAGTACAAACGGCTGATGTTTGGAATTAACTCTGCTCCAGAAATATTTCAACGTCACCTCGAGCAGCTATTGGCACCCTTTACTAACGTCTTGAATTATATTGACGACGTAATAATTTTTGGAGCTAGCGACGAAGAACATGTCAATACTGTAAGAGAGGTTTGTAACGTATTTAAAGAAAGCGGCGTTTACTAAATGATCAAAAGAGCATCTGGAAAACAACCAAACTCAAGTTCCTTGGTCATATTATTTCTGACAAAGGCAATTAATTAGATAATAATAATTAGAATGTTTCGAGACCCACTTAACAAGGAAGAGACTCGGAGTTTTTCAGTTTTGGTGACATACGTTGGAAAATTTATCCCAGACCTGGCAGATTACACGGAACCGCTACGAAAATTACTGAGGAAGGACTCGAAATTCAGCTGGGGCGAAACAGAAAGAGAGGCCTTTCGGAACTTAAAGGATCGACTGGAAAAAGTGCCAAACTCGCATACTTTAACCCACTAAATCGAACTCGCCTAATAGCAGATGCCAGTACAGTAGCACTGGGAGCGGTATTGTTGCAATTCTCTATAAGTGCTGACCCCTTAACTATTTCATTCGCTAGTAGAGTTTTGTCGGACGTTGAGAAACGTTTTTCTCGAAACTGAAAAAGAAAGTCTGGCTCTAGTTTGGGCTCTTGAGAAATTTTACTTTTATCTAGCAGGACTTCATTTCGAGCTAGTGAGAGATCACAAACCATTGGAGGCCATTTTCAAACCGACATCGAGACCTCCTGCGCGCATACAGAGATGGTTACTACGGCTACAGTCTTTTAATTTTAAAGTCGTCTACAAAGCGGGAAAAGAGAACATCTCAGACGCTCTATCCCGACTTTGTCAGTTATCATCATCCGACTCTGGTGGAAAAGAAATGGAATATAGCATATTACGGGTGATCGAGAACTTGCAAAGCATTCGGTAAAGGACGAAGAAATTATCGATGCGAAGCCCTGTCTGGAGTGCGACTCATGGAAACCTGTATCCCTAAAACTGCAGTACCCATTTCGAAATGAGTTATCGGCAATAGGACCCCTTCTTTTGCGAGGTAACCGAATTATTATTTACTTTGGAACCAAGTACTTGAGCTGGCTCACGAAGGACACCCTATAGAGTCGGCTATGAAAAGGCGTCTGCGATCTAAGGTATGGTGGCCTCTAATTGATCGTGATGCAGAGAACTATGTCAAACACTGCAGAGATTGTCTTCTGGTCTCTCAATGCCCTAAGCCAGCACCAATGGATAGGAACCCATTTCCAACAGGCCCAAGGATTTGGGTAGCATCAGACATATTGGGGACCCTACCAAACAATGAGTTTGTTGTAGTTTTTATTGACTATTACTCCCGCTATATGGAGTTTAAACTCCTACGCTTAATTTCGACAGCAAGCTTAATTGAAGTAATGAAGGAAATATTCTGTAGATTAGGTTATCCAAAACTCTTTAAAACTAACAATGGGCGACAGCATATAAGTCCAAAATTCGAGGAGACTCCACCCTATTGGCCCCAGGCTAAGGAGAAGTTGAGAACATGAATAGGTCTTTGGTCAAACGGTTAAAGATAGCACACTCTAATTCGAAAAATTATAAGGAAGAAATCCAGAAATCCAGAAACAACTTATGTTTAACAGAGTTATCCACGAAAAAGTTCCATGCATAGGTGATATTGATGAACAGGTTACAGACTCGGCCGAAAAGGACAGGAAAAGGACAAAAAGGAAAGGAAGAGGCAGACAAAAAGAGGGGAGTAAGGGAAACCGTGATAAACGTAGGGGATAAAGTACTCTTGAAAAATGTATTTTTTCCTAGTAAATTGACTCCGAATTTTAAGGATACCGAATTTTAGGTTGTTGAAAAAGGCAAAAAAAATAGTAAAAGTTAGGGCAGAGGGTAGGACTCTCACAAGAAATGTATCGCACGTCAGGAAAATACCAATAAACGCAAGCCACCTGGAGACATCTTTAAACTCATCGTTAAGCAGCTCTCAACCGAAGATGACATCTACTCAGGATCACCAAGGAGTCAACGGCTCAGACAGTCCCCAGAAGGTTTGACTTCTTTGCCTGCCCAACCTTTGAAGCTAAAACCTGTCAATAAAGGAGGGATGTGGGAGCCGGCAATGAGCGGCGATGTCATGCAGGAGAGCAGCGATACTGTCAAGGAGGGTGCGAGCGGAGTGACGGAGAAGAATGAGAGTTAGTTTTAATTGACCAAGTGTGCAGAGCGGATGCGACGCAATTATGACTTAAATATTAAATTGACTTTAAAAAGTGAAAATAATCTGTCTCTATTAAGGGGGACTTACGGGTTACTACAATACTAATTTAATATTATCCTTCCTAGACAAATGTTAAACAAAACATAAAATTTAATAGATCTAAAAGGATAATTCAAAATTTTTTCAATTGTCGAGTCGATGACCATAGTCGCTTGCACACCATTTCTTAATTACGTATTATATAGAACTAAGATTTAATTCCCTTGAAATAGTATAACAATTAGTATTATTAGATCTTTATTTCGAAAAGAAACTAATATTTTTTATGATAATCAATAGTGTTTGCGTTGTTACCAAGACAGCTGCAGTATATCGTCAGCCTATCTTTTAATTAAAAATTAAATTTAATTAAAATTTTAAAATTATGCTTGCAGTTAAAAAGCCAAATTAATAGGCTTACAAACTGCGGTCCCTAAATTTAATTTATGGGTCTCTTACTCTTGTGGTAAAAGTAATCGCTTTTTAAAGGTTACATAAATTCATCCTTAGGATATCGGACTAAACATTAATATTAATATTAATATCAAACGCAATAAGTTAATATATACTTTTTTTGGTAGGAACTTTTTTAGACTGTAAATTTGTGTCGGAGAACTTCGCAACTAACTTCGCAAGCCAATTGTTGAACTACCTAATTGGTTTGCAAATGGGTCTTGGATGTTATTAAAAATGTATAGCCATGATTTGGTGGTCTACTCTCCAATCAAATGCTGTTGTTTTAGTACGAAACTTGATGGTGTTAAGTCAAAATGTTCATCGACCAAAGTTGGTCACTTGTCTTAAGTGCAATAAGTAAATATTAAACTTGACATATCCAGCTTAAAACTTAATTTATTTTATCAGTAGGAACTTATTTAAATGAAAGTACCATCTGCATATTTTGGAACGATAAATTTGAGTTCCAACTGCATCGCAGTGCTGAATATACCAGTTTTGTGGGAATACATATCAAATCTTTAAAAGGCAACCTGGACCGGGATGTGGTTGATGTTAAAGAAAGGAAAAAAGAGCTACAGGAAAACAAATTACTGTTTGATGACCTTCTTCTCAAAATTACTGTGTCTATTGAGGTGTCGCATTGTGAGGTAAAGTACCAACATAATAATAATAAGAAATCTTTTTATACTAATATTTCTTATTTATTCAGACATTTATTGTATTTGACAATAACATTGTACAGTTTGTGGAAGCATTTACTAAAGCGTCCATATACTCAATTTGGAGGTCCTTACACAATAAGTTTGTTTTTGCGCATGTAGCTAACGAGTTGCAGGAGTGCTGTGAAAATATATTTTTCGAGGGTAAATATAAAAGCTTAATAACCGTAACCATCTGACTAAACGTGTCTGTTTGAAAGTCAATGTATTGAAAACTATAGGAGCGAGGTTATTGGGATTTAACATACAGTTGTGGGGGTAAATACGCAGAAAAATCTTTTTAAAAAAATTATTTTGAAGAAACGCCCGCCCTATTTTACGGCCACAAATCACGGAACTCTGTGGCACCCACAGTTCTTATGACACAGCATTTTTGTTTAATGATTTGGATTTGGTTATAAGCAAGCAGTGAAAGCCGTAGCTATATTTACCATTATAGAAATTTTTTAGAATATAGATTACACATTATTTTTTTGAATGTTTTTTCATCTTTATTTGTCGGATAGATATTTTAACGAAAGCCATAAAGAAAATATTACTTGGTGAGCATCACCATTTGAATCGAACTAGACGTGTAGGTATGTTTGTCCGTCTTGACGTAAACTAGTCTCTCAATTTTAAAGCTATCTTGCTGAAACTTTATCTGAAGTAGTGAAGTTATAGCCCGATCCGGCCCGTTCCGACTTATATACTGCGTGCAATAACTACACCACTTTTGGGAAAGTTTCAGCAAGATCGCTTTTAAACTGAGAGACTACAATAGTTTAAAGAGAAACGGACAAACGTACAGACTTATTTCGATTCAGGTCGTGATGCTGATCAAGAATATATGGAATTATGGGGTCTGAGGTGTCTCTTTCACTGCGTTGACAACTTTGAGGTGTCGCATTGTGAGGTAAATTCCCAACATAATAATATGTTTCTCTCCTGGAGGGCTCGTTAGACCCAAAAATCCGACGGGCTGCACCTTCGGCGAGGCTGCAGACTGGAACTGGAATCGCTTATTCAGCCGAGGCCACGGCTGACGGAATGACTCGGGACCACCCTTGAAGACCCGACGATATACTGCGTAATCGCGGTTGGGAGGATCCGCCTTCCCTTTACGCGACCTTAGAAATGTAGAGTTTTTTTTAAGTAGGTACTATTAAATTAAGAAAACAACTTTATGAAAACCGAATATTGAAAATTAATAGAAAAATCGTCATAGCTTCGATGTTGTTTAGCCTTAATGTATTTTATTCGACATATTTGATGACTGCAAAGGTATAAAAGCTTCGGCTTTTCGAAGCTAGCTTCCTTTCTTGTTATTTTGTTATTTTCTTCATTGGTTGAACCATTTAAAATTTAATTATTATTTTTTTTTATTATTTTCATTTTTATTATTTTTATTTCACCGCATCAAATTATATTAACCCCACTCTTTTCCAGCAACTTGTTTGCCATTAAAATTTATATTAAAAACAATTTAATTAAAAATGAAAGAAATTAAATATTATCGATGAGGCAAATTTGTTATAATATTTTTTTTAGTTAATTTAAATAAATGAAAAAATAAGCGATTCGAATTGTCATGTTTGACATCTATATATATGTATAAAAGGAAGTCGTGTTAGTTATAACTCAAGAACGGCAGAGCAGATTTGGCTGCAAATTTGTAGGGAGGCAGCTTAGAGCCAGGAAAAGAACATAGGATACTTTTTATCCCGTTCGACATACCAAAAATCGCATATAAAGTGAGTTACTCAGCTTAGGGACGTAGGGAGGCAGCTTAGAGCCAGGAAGATTGTAAACTCAGTAGGTAATTATACATAAGTCTAGAACTGAGTAAATTTTGCACGTTTACAAAGAAATGAAATGCCGAGTCTTCGCACAGGAGCAACAAATATTGGGCGACATACTTATTATACGCAACTGGTCCGTGGCCGTCGATAAAATCAAACAGTAGAAGGACACGTGGCAAGCAATGTCAACGTAAGAGAACAGATGGTCTAATTTTTACAGCTAATTTCCAATAGTTAACATGACAGGGCTTTCGGTAAAAAGACTTATGCCGAATTTGATTGAGGCAACCATTATTAACGGAAAGTACGCAGGTGAAAATGTTTGTATTCCTTGAATACTAATGATTCCGACTTATCTTCCGTTTGACATCAAACGATGGCAATTTCCAGTTCGCCATGCGTTCGCAATGACAATTAAGAAGTCGCAAGGCCAATCGCTTAGTGTTTGCGGGACAAATTTAGAAAATCATTGTTTTTCACATGGGAAGTTATACATTGCATATTCACGAGTTGGGAACCGCTTTGTTTGTGTTAACGTCAGACCAAAAAACAAAAATTTGGTTTACCAAAGAGCACTTCAATTATAATTTGCGGACACCCCTATAACGCTTCGATTCAGTATTTACTTTGAATTTACTTTCATTTACGTAGAGAAGTTCAACTAAATAACACTTGATTTTTGTAATCAAAATGAATTCATTACTGTTGTAAAATGAAATAAAATTTTTCCTTTTTATGTATAATATAAAACAAAAAAATATTTATTTTTCTTTTAATCACCAAACGAAATTTTACATATAACTATCGCCTATATAACTACATATAACTATCCAAACGGAGTTCGCCGGGTTTACTAGTATGGAACAAGAAAGAAAGCTAGCTTTGGCAAACCGATGCTTATATACCCTTGCAGACATCAAAGAGTATAATAAAATACCTACATTAAGGCTAACCAACATCGAAGCTATGACGATTTTTATATAAATTTTTCATATTTTCGACAATTGTTCATATGAAAGCTATATGATATAGTTGTCCGATTTTGATAAAATTTAATTCGTTTTTCAAGAATCGCAAGAAAACTCTTTATTCCATAAATCATGATTGTCTGATGGAAAACATCGATGTTATTATTTTTAATTCCGTTATCTATATAGATCTATATAGATTTTTTGATCTTTACTCTGGCAGCTATATGATATAGTAGTCCGAAATTTATAAAATTCTTTTCCTCGATTCAAGGGTATTTAAAAAACGTGAGGTTTTAAAAATGATGCTCGTGGAATAAAAAACAATGACGGTATAATTTTTTTTTCATTATTTATATTGTTGGGTCAGTGAGCTTTTTCACTAACCATTACCTTGGCGGTGCCCAAATAAAATAAACTGCACAAAATTTCGTTAATAATTTGCACTTATTTATTAAACTGGCACCAAGGTCTTAAATGTATAAAGTTATTGTTTGTTGTAGAATTGGTTAGGCAGGCAGACCGAATTGTCTGTGCCTTTTTACAGCGATAAGGTATGTTGGGCAGGCAGACCGATTTGTCTGTGCCTTTTTGCAGCGAAAAGGTATATTAGCAGGCAGACCGATTTGTCTGTGCTTTAGACGAAAGTATATAAAGCCGAGATTTGGCAGGCGATGGTATGTTGGGCAGGCAGACCGATTTGTCTGTGCCTTAAACTTCGCGAAGAGTATATAGCCGAAGAGTATATAGGCAGGCGATCAGCGACCGTGCCTTCTATGAGAGTGTACAAATTCGAACTACTGAAGCTTGCCGTGGACGAAGGGCCAGGCAGCGATAAGCGAAAAGTGCAAAAGTAGTTAGCAATGATAATTAAAACAGTGTTGCCGCGCAGGGCAAATAGCAAAACAAAAGGCAAACATCGAGAATTTGGTTTTACGTTACGATTTGCAATCAGTGGTTTGATTTAGGCTGCGGCATGACCAAACATCCTCCCCCCGTTGGAAGACCAGGGCTTTCAACCAGATCCAGCTTCGGCTGCACGCACAACTTGCGAACAGCCCTTCGAGTGACTTCTGCTCGAGTTCGTATCACTGCCACATGGTCAACTCCATCGGATCCAGGCACCAATTCCATGGCCCTGGGTAATGACCATTTAAATGGAGGCAAAGTGGAGGCGGCCTCGTTGATTTGTAGCGCAGGTTTGGGAGTGCGCCACTTCGGTCGGACCAGAATGCAAGCTCTTCCGATGCAAGTCCAGTGTAATGGCACGTATAACTAGATGCTGGCGTGGCAGTATGACAGGATGCTGCGCATTGCGATTCTCGAGACGAAACTCTGGGCTGGTGAACGAAAGGGCAGGTTCCAGAAGCTCACTCGGGGAAGAACCTCTTGACAAAATGTCGGCTGGATTGCAGTGAGTCGGTACATAGCCCCAATTCTTGGCACTGGATAACTCTTGAATTGAAGATATTGGATTAGTAACATATACTTGAAAGCGTGAATGTTCATATCTTATCGATGATAAGCCTTCAGCAAAAACGAAGAGCTTTATGTTGCGTACGTCCTGCTACTAGCGCAACTGATGCTAGTAGCAAGGCAGTGCAGAACTCCAATTTGGAAACCGTGAGAGTCTTCCAAGGTGCCACACGAGACTTTGAAAAAAGTAGATGCACCTCTCGTTCGCCATCAGCATCTGGATCCAACGCAGGTCGAAGAAACGTCTTTTGCTGGGTACGACCCATGTCAGATGACAAAAGGACAACAGAAAAGCTCTCATCCAAATCCAACTTTTCTCTCCAGGCTTGTTGCAGGAAGATTTTGGCCTTGGCAGCTAAGGACCAATGAAACCAAGGAGATGATCGCACACCCGAGCAGTTGTGAAAAACACCAGTCGTTTATATGGCTTTGAAGAGACCTGTGTGGAAGTCAAAGAAAAACGAAATACATCCGCTGCAGGGTTCCAGGCAAGACCCAGTGTCTTGGTAATGTCGCTGCCATCGTCAAACTTCAGGAGTGTTTCCTTTTCCGAGTCAGCAATTTGATCAAGGACGTCGCGGTGGTTGGAACACCATTTCCTGAGTTTAGAGCCGCCTCGTGAAACCAAGTTAGTGGTTTGAGACCTGATTTCGAGGACCTCGTGTGTTGATTTCCCTCCTGTGATCAGTTCGTCAACGTCATCCATACGAGCAGCAAACAATTCACGATGCACAGCTTGATCTTGAAATCCAGTTGCCTTGATAGAGGACGATCCACCTCCTGTTACGATCCAACCAAGCTTCGTTTTTTGCAATAGGGGTAACCCAGCAGCCAACTTAATCAGCCCTACAGATAACAATTCAAAATACATGCTTGCGCCAATGAAAAGATCTATCCGCTGAGATTTGTAAAAATCAGG